CAGCAAGCAGGTTCTGTATCTTGGAAGAGAGCAGCCAAGACTAGGGCTCCTAGTCCTACTAGGGCTCTGCATCAAAGCCAGCTGCTCGCCATTAGCATGGCTGTTTGATGCTGATAATGGAAGTGACTCACCTGCTTTCCAGCATCCTGGCTAACCCTCTGTCCTCTGCCCCTCTCTTCTCTGGCTTTGAGTACTGAGAGAGCTATGTACATTCCTCTGCCAACTCGTAACCAAGCCATATGAGCACCAAAATAACAACAGCTTCAAGGCCTCCTCCCTGTGCAGGACCAGAGGCCGGAGCTGACGCAGTGCAAGTGTGATCATCGATCTGTTCAGTGTAAACCATAGTGCAGTGCTCTCAGCTTCCCTGGATGGTAGAGCAGTGTCACAGACCGCCAGGGCCTGCAAAGCTGAAAGGACGAGAGTCCACATAAAGACTATAACTAGATGGGAGGTGAGGGTGTCACAGACACCGGTCTGCTGTCACTGTCATGCTAAATGGGGGCCTTGTGTCCATAATGGTGAGGGGCTGCAAACTGCAGGCTTAGTGTATGCTGTGTGGCTGGGAGCATGTCTCACAGCCAGGCACCTCACAGGCGTGTTCATGTTAAGCTCATGCTGCTCTTTCCAGACTCCAGCTGGCAATGGCAGTCTATCGATGGTGCTGTCATGCTCCCCATCTTTCCAACTACCTTGCAAGAGCTGACGCAGCAATACGACCTGTGTGTTACTGGGGAAGGTCTCTCTCACCTTCAGTCTATGAACAGACAGCAGATGTTGAAGCTTATTCCACACATCCAGGTGTTTGCCAGAGTGGTCCCAAAGCAAAAGGTGAGAGATTTCAGCTACTGGTAAAACCCAGCCTTTGCAGGCTTCCAGCAGGGCTCACCTGGGTCTGGGAGCAGCAGAGATGCTAGCATGTGATTAATGCTAGGGCTGTTCTCAACAAACCAGCGTAACCTCTTCTGATAGCCAAGCTAGCAGGCAGCGAGAACCAGAGCTCAGGGTGTGCCACACTGTTATCCTAAAGCATCCTGAGCTTGGTGGCTATTCTGGCTCAGCCTTCCTAAAACAGAGCCTGAAGGTGAACCTTCTGGAGGCCTGGGTGTCAGGCCAATGAGTTCTTACAGAAAAGAAGCACTTGACCGAGACACATGACCCGGTACTCGGTCTCCAGTGACGTGCTGGGCTGAAGACCAGTGTAGTTTTGCCACCTGCAGGTTCTTATGTCCAGAGTGCAGCGTATCAGAGCGCAAAGACTGTAAATTCTGACTAGACAATTTTTGTTGCAGGAGTTTGTGATCACTACTTTGAAGAGTCTGGGCTACATCACACTGATGTGTGGGGATGGAACCAATGATGTTGGAGCTCTGAAGCATGCAGATGTGGGTGAGTCCAAATGCAGGATGCTCACATGTGCCCCTATCCAAGTTTGGTTAGTGTTCCTAAATGGAAAGTCAGTGTTCATTTCTCTGGTGATTTTGGGACTAGAATTGATTAGGATTGATCTAACTAGCTTCATCTGGTGGCAGAAACTAACATAGAGCAGAAGGATGTCTATGCTGGTGGAATACTGGGTGTGTGCACCAGCAGGCAGCGTGAATTGGCTGCCAACACGTTCTCCTAGTAGAGAGATTCTTCCTAATTCTCCTAAGCTTTGCCTTGGGAAGCGTAACACGTCTGAACTCCCATTTGGCTCCAGGAGTAGCTGGCAGCTGGGATTCCTACTTGGTGAGAGTGCTCTGCCAGCAAAGGGATTACAGCACTTTGCCCTGCAGCTAATGTTTTGGTCTTACAGGAGTGGCACTGCTGGCAAATGCTCCCGAGAGACTGCCTGAACGGAAGAAGAGACCTCGAGATGGACCCAGCGATGGCAGGCCTGCTTTGCTGCCAATGGGAAGTGGGACTGTGAAGCCCACCTCCCGTGGTGCAAAGCACAGAGTCATGTCCCAAAGAGAGGAACAACTGGCCATCCAGAGGGTTGGTAACTAGATCTGCCGGTGCTCGTTCTTGGGGTTTTGAGGGTTTAAAAGCCATTTAACTTATCCTTGCTCTTCTTTCTTCCTCTGGGAATTCATGAGAACTGGAAATGGCAGGATGTACTGGGACAAGACAAGCCTTATTGCTTGTTATCCTGAAGTGACCGAATGGATTTGATCAGAGGAGGTGCTGCTTTTTCAGACAGCCATCAAGCCGATGCTGCAAGCATGAAGGCTTCTCCGTCCCATCTTGGAACAGTGGTGTGGGAGAAGATAGCGCAACGTTCTCGGAGTTCACGTTGTGATAACCAAGTGTGCATGTCTGTCTATCTCTTACTGGCTTGCAGGAGCGGATCAGTCAGGTGCTGAAGGATTTGGAAGAGGAGCGTGTGCCAGTTGTGAAGCTGGGTGATGCCAGCATTGCAGCCCCCTTTACCTCCAAGCTCTCCTCCATTCAGTGCAGTAAGTGCATGGTGGGAGTTGAACAGTTATTGTGGCTCTGCACATGTCCAGATTCTCAAATGGATCAGTCTAGATCCAAAAGAAGCCAAGACAGAGGGCTCGGGATGTTGAGAAATGCTCCCAAACCCACAGCTTTGTCAGATGTTTGCGTGTGGAAACTGTGGGTTTCTCAGCTGGGGAGGAGTTGCACAGTGCAGGGTTATACTCCCTCTATACTATTTCTGAAAAGGAGAGGACTGAGGGACAAAGCCCCAGAACCTGTTTGGTTGGTTTCCAAATGCTGCTTCCTCTTGTTCCTCAGTCTGCCACGTGATCAAGCAAGGTCGTTGCACGCTAGTGACAACACTCCAAATGTTCAAGATCCTTGCCCTGAACGCCCTGATCCTTGCCTACAGCCAGAGCGTCCTCTACTTGGAAGGGGTGAAGTTCAGTGATTTTCAGGCAACTCTGCAGGGTCTCTTGTTGGCTGGCTGCTTCCTTTTCATCTCCAGGTCAAAGGTAAGGGGAGGGAAGTGCATTGGCACAGTTGCTGGTCAATGCCCATCATAATGGGATTACTGAAGGACGGCCCCTCTCCAAAAAAGCTCTTTGTTTTACTAAACTAACAGTATACCAGAAGATTATTTTTATTCCCCTAGCAATAGCAATATTTTTATTGCTTTTTTTTTTTTTAACCATCTCTACACTTTTCCATTCTAGTCAATCCTGCTTGCTTTTTGTTCCCAGCCTTTGAAGACACTTTCGAAGGAGCGCCCACTGCCAAACATCTTTAACCTCTACACAGTCCTGACAGTGCTGCTGCAGTTCCTTGTCCATTTCCTCAGCCTGGTTTATCTGTACCATGGTGCTCAGGTGCGCAGCGATTCCAAGTAAGTGTCTGTCCCTCCAACACATTAACACATTTTCTCCAGTTGCTGCTAAGCGGGATAGTGGAGAGTCCTCCCTCACCGCTGTGCTCTTCCTCTGAACGCTCTCGAGTGCACTAAGCATTAAGATGTTAGACAGGCACAAGGAAAGCGTTTGAACTATACATGAAATGTATTGGCAGGCAGCCCACTGTGGTAAGAACGTAATGGAGAGAACTAGTGGGAATCCTGGACTTGGTCTGTGATGTGCTGCAGTTCTAATGGTCTGCTGTCCCCCAAACTGTGCGAGAAGGGGAAATAACTATAACACCAAGGAGACAGACTACTGGATGCTCTTTTTTAAAAAAGAGGGCCTAATTTTTCACTTATTTTTTATTTTGTGACAAAGCCCAATGAGTACATTTACCTATTCTTGCAACATCTGCAGCTCTACTACTACCTGTACAAGCATGCTACTTTTGTCAGAGGCAGGGCTGCTGCTGATAGCAGACACAAAAGTTTGGGAACAGCTGCTGTTGCCCAACAGAACTTGCGTGTAGCTTCAGTAAGGGTTGGGGGGGTTATGCAAGGTAAGCTAAACTTTCCTGATGATCTTGTCTCTGGTCTACTGATCTCCAGCTCTGTTCCTTTCCAGGCGGGAAGAGTTTGTGGATCTGTACAAGGAGTTTGAGCCCAGCCTTGTGAACAGCACCGTTTACATCATGTCAATGGCAATGCAGATGGCTACGTTTGCTATCAACTACAAGGCAAGACGTGTTTTAAGTCACACTTCCAATGGGACTAGAGAAGCAATTTTACACTTAAGATGCAGTAGCACTAAACAGAAGTTCTTCCCTAATACCAAAGTTCAGTTTGTCAGGGCTCTATAGAGAACTTCCTCTTTCTGCACCAGGTTGGAATGAGCTGAGACAAACGTCCCCAACTGTTTCATGAATAGGGCTACACGATCTCTAGTCCGAACGTGCCTCCTGAGCATGTGTACAGCAGCGCCTCTGCTCACAGTTTCTCCCTTGTGTGTTTCAGGGCCACCCCTTTATGGAGAGTCTACAGGAGAACAAGCCTCTGCTGTGGAGCATCATCCTTTCAGGACTTGCCATCGTGGCCCTTCTCACAGGCTCTTCGCCAGAATTCAATGAACAGTTTGGCTTGGTAGAAATCCCTACTGAGGTGAGCAGGCAGCATTTCTCTGGGATCACGGTATGAAACGTTACCCGTGTGGGCCCACTGAATTACATGCTGTGTTTCTACTGGGAGAACAGGAATAAGTCTGTCCTGAGGAAATCTGGTGGAATCTCAAGGCTTTCAAGCAGAATGTAAGACACACAAAAACTCACACAGGAACACTAACTACCTAAAGGAGAGTATATAGCAGCAATCCTACTGAAGCACTGAGGTAACTGTAACAAGCTGTGAAAGCAAGGCAGCTAGGTCCCTAGCTTAGCAGTGTCATATACAGCAACTGAGCGCCTAACACGACAGAGGCTTTGTTCTGCTGGGAGAGCATAATAGAAGGGAGGGAGAAGAGGGACTAACCAGTTGTGTTTGTTTTCTAGTTTAAGATTGTGATCACTCAAGTGTTGCTGGCTGACTTCTTCCTCGCCTTGTTAGTGGACCGAATTCTTCAGTTTCTGCTGGGGAGTGCAAAACTTAAAGTGCCTTCCTGAAACCAATTCCAAGGTCCTTGACCCCAGCAGTGCTACAAGGACAGCACCCAGAGCCATGTTTCCGCATCACAAGAATCATCTTTATCTTTTTGACAATTACTCCGATCCTGTGCAGGAACAGGCATGGGGAAGTGTTCCTCCTTATCCCATGGAAACCACCTCTGTGTAACAATCAAGGCCACTGATTTTTCAATGTTTCCAGGACACACCACCACCTGTTGGGAGTTTTGTACTGCCCTACGCTTGAGGAAGCGTTTACAGAGTTTAGTAACTAAATCAGAATCAATGCATTTTAAAACATGTTTGGAACTTCCTTTGTGGGGTTAAAAGCTTTGTGATGTTTTAATAGGCAATGAGACTTAAGCGCAGTAGAAAAGCAACGAACTAAAGCCTAGGCTGACAGGAGTTCTTACATGACTGAAACACTGAATGTTCTAGCAGGAGGTAATGCTCAGAACAGAGCTGTAGTGTTGACAAAGCAGAGAAGAACAAACACTGCCAAAAACACCTATGCATTGACTTATGCTGCTGTACGTGCCAAGTTGAAGCTCTGTATTTCAGAAACGTTACAAAAATATTTTGGCAGGTGAGAAGAGAAATGTTTATTTTCTCCCTGGGCAACTCCAGTACTCATATATTGATTACATTTCTTCAGGTACCCTGAACTTTAATCTATGAAAGACCAGGGGGATGCGGGTCGGTAGTTTACATCCTCAAGGGGAAGGTTAGGCTCCAGTGCTAACAAATGCTGGGTGGGAGTCTGGCAGCTGCAGTCCTTTCAATTACAAAAGCATAGTTGTACTGAAAACAGAAAACAATCAGTCAAGACAAGACACTGCTATCATAGAAATTCAGACTCCTGCTATTATCCACCCAAAATGAGTAGGACAAGGGCAGAATTGCCTACCTCTTCCTCAATCTCAGCAAGAGACTTAACATTCAGGTCTGCAAGGATGGTCTAAAAAAGGCATGAAACGTTTCCAATTAAGACTAGTTATGAGTTGAGACTAAGAAAATCAGCATGGCAGCAGCCTAGAGGAACACTCACGTTACTGCCAGAATTGATGTTGCCTTCAAATCTGGGATGTAGTGTAAAAGGTACTCCATCCATAGCTGAAGAGAGAAGTGAGTGTCAGATGCTTTGATAATGTCAAAGGAGCTACTCTGAAAACACGAGTACTTAATTCCTACAAGTAGCAGATGAGCAGAAGGGGACGTTTTAGCACCTAGAGAAGAAAGAGTCTGACCAAGAGGCCAATGGCTTCCTTTAAAGTAAGCAAGAAATAACTTTCAAGGGAAAAATCTCCCTCTAAAAACTTAGGTCACTATTTAAAGGGAGCACCTGTAGAGAAACAGTTTTGAATGAACCAACCTAACTTACATTTTTGACTATAAAATAGGGATAGGGTTGCTTTATACAGCTTCCTTATTTTTTGACAAATGAAATAAGTTACCTGAGAGCCCGTAGATGTTGGAAGTATCATATACAGATTCATGCTGGGTGAGAGATGCATGTTTTGAGCCAAATGGAGGCCCAGACTTCTCTGGTGACCTGTAGCACATCAGCATTAGTTAATGCCTTTCACCTGGCTACTCCTGTCTGCGAACAGCGCATTACACATTAGCAGCATCCATCAAAATTGACCAAGCGGCTCCATCCCTCCATAAGGTTTTAGGAAGGCGGAGGCGGGGTAGTGCCCGTCCTTTTTGGATGCAGCTGCTCCTTGTGTAACAGGCGATAAACCGCAGCCCCAGCGACACGGAGCAGAAACCGCGAGGTGGCACCAGCGCCAGCAGGACTCGTCCACAGCCCCAGGCCGGTTCAGGTAAGGCCGAGCAGGTTAACGCATACATACTTGTGGTCTGTGTCAGCAGGCTGCAATGAAAGCTGCTTCAGGCCCAGACTAACCGTCCTTGGGCTGGGAAGGGGCGGGGGGGTGGAGTGCGGAACTTGCCCTTTTTTACACCAAACAGCGAAGCTGCCGATTTCCCTAGGAGGAGAAGAAGAGGAGCGTTGCCGGGGAGGG